TTTAGGATACTTCACCTCCCAGAGTGCCTACAAATGTTTCAATCTTTCCACCTCAAAAAATTTTCACTCCCGACATGTTCAATTTATTGAACACACTTTTCCATCCGTCTTTTCTACCCCTCCTACGGATTTAACCTCATCTCTCATCTCTATCTGGACCAATTGCTCTCCATCTCTTAAGGTGTGATACCCCTCGATTCTAGAGTCACGGGTAATCAAGTCCGAGCACAGAATACAAGGGATATCAAACAATTAATATTTAAACAAGCATTGGAATACAAGATGAATTAAAAATAAATAGATAAGTTGAAAAGAAAACTAAATAATAATTAAAAATCCCATAATAAAGTTCTCCAATCCTCTGATACTAGTAATTAATTAAAGCCAAAACTCGAGAATCCATATTGTGGACCCCTAATAATATCAGAACTGAAATAACTGAACTGAAATAAAACTAATAATTAACCCATGAAGAAGAGTCCTACGTAAAGTCGGAAGAGTGAATGACTGTCTCTGTTTGGCACGAATAATCTCTAAGACTGGAACTGACGAACACCTGAAAAATAATGGTGGGTTAGGCCCACAAACAAGTTCTAATCTACTACATCCCAAACAGAGACCCGATACAAGTACACATCCTAATTAATTCAACAATAACTAAATAGTCCATACATAGATATATACACACTAAAGAAACCTCACTAGACTATAGAGTTGTCTCAACCTGAATAGTAGGCAACATGCAAAACGCACATAGAGTGGGTATGAGTACCTAGACCTACCAAGGTACACAACTACACTATATCTAACTACATATCCCTGCAATATACGCACCCTAACCACTGATCCTGAGACTCAAGCTCATATCATGGCGTATAATTATATATATAAAATCCGTCATATCCAACCATCAAAGTAAATTATCCAAATATTATTTTAATAATATGTCATCCAACTATTCCGTTGACCTGACACAAATAAGTAGGACTTAACACTATAGTTAATCCGTTCCCTTATCCAAAAATAGGTAGGACTTAACTTTTAAGTTAATCCGTCCCTAATATGCCCCCATCCCATAATGGTGCATTAATCCACATTATAACCAAAAAGAAGCTTCCAATCCAAAGATAATGTAAATAATATTTACATATAAACATTATATTAATCATATACACATTCTTTGCATTTACTTGAGCAAAAATATCAATTCTAAATATCATGCATTTAATTTTTCATTACAAGAAATTAAAATGCATCTCAACTAAATTGTACATCTCCATATTTTGATTAAATTAATTTAAATCTAAGCAATAGATTAAAATAATTTAATCCAGCAATATCTAATTAATTTTTTCTTTTAGAATTAATTAAATTCCATCCTTAGTATGTAAACTTCCATCATGCATACCAATTTAAATTAAATAAATATTTAATTCAAATCCATTAATCAAAACTAACAAATATTAATTTAATATTCTAACATTAAATAGATTACTATTAAAAATATTTAATGCAAAAACTATTTAATCAAAACAAAATAAATTAATCATAATACCAATCATTATATCCATAATGGTACCAATCATTATATCCTGGCATTATATAACAATCTGTTTTTTTTTTTTTTAAGGAATTGTCAATGACTTCCTCGATCGACATGCCCAATTCATTAGAAACCAATTCCAAACATAGTTTTACGAATTGCTAAAATTAGGTTCATGCCACTTTCTAGCTTGCCTCGTTCGGCATGCGTAACTTGTAAAAAAACACACTAATTTGACCTTACTCATGTGCATACAAACTGATGCATGGGAAAATAAAATAAATCAAATTAAAACCAAATTTAATTCATACTAACACAAGTCATGTAAAAAAATAAAATAAATTAAATTAAAACTAAGGCCACCAACAGTGTAGGCAAAAAAATTAAAACCCATAAACTAAAATTTCAAAATAAATATATGTAATTAGATCCAATTAATTTATTTAAAGAACCTAGAATTAATCTAGCATGCATAGAGTATGAATCAAAGGAGAAGAGAAGAATTAAAACTTGCCTTTAGGGATTCTATAAAAGCCCTAGCCTCCTTCTTCCTTTTTTTCTTCCTTCCTCTTCTTTCTTTCTCTCTCTAAACTATAGTACGTAATATATTTTCTAACCTCTTTCACAACTCTATAGTTTTATATTTATAGGCAACTAAAATAACCCTAATCCTTTTTTCATTCCAAGACAAACTAAAATAAATCAAAAATAAAATAAAATAAAATCTAAATACTAAAAAGGTAACTTAAATATATGTTATGTATAATCTATGTGTACTCCTTTTTATATATAATATATAAATATATATCAGATTATTATTTAAGGACTTTCCTTATATATATATATATATATATATATATATATATATATATATATATATATATTTATTTATTTATTAAATATACATATACATGGGTAATTATCCGTACCCATTAAACCCCTTATCCAAGTAGTCCATGTCAGTCCAATTGATTGGTCAATTACTACTATCCCTATCCAATTCCTTAAAAATATAAAAATAAAATAAATAAAATAAAAATAAAAATAAAACAATTAAATTCCTAAATAAATACACATCATCACATACAATTCAATTTAAAAAAATAATTAAATTAACACATTTAAACAAATAATTAAATCAATTAAACCAATAAACAATTAGCCAAGAAATCAACTAAATAATTAAATGTAATTAAAATAATTTTAAAAAAAATACCGAGACTATCCTTTTAAAATTGGGGATATTACATAAGGCAACCACCTCTTTACATTTTTCTATTCCTTTTTCTCCCTTCTCTTCCCCCTCGGTTGTCAACTCCGAGGTTACTGCCACACATGAAGTTGCTACCCCAGCCTCCCATGCACCGCCCGTGGCTATTAACCACTCACCAAATGCTTCTTTTAGCTCCATTGTCCCCATACCCTCTTCCTCGACTCTTTTCCCAAATCCTCCACCTATTCCTCCTCCCTCTACACGAACTCACTCTATGACCACCCGGTCTCAAAATAAAAATTTTCAAACCCAGACAAATTCATCACAACACCACTCACCCTCTATCTTTACCCCCGGAACCAATATGTGTGTCTCAAGCACTTCGAGATCCTAATTGGCATACCACTATGTCTGATGAACTTAATGCACTTATTAGAAATGGCACATGGGAGCTGGTCCCTCCCAAATCCACTCACAATGTTGTGGGTTGTAAATGGGTCTTTCGCATAAAACATAATCCTGATGGGAGTCTTGCTCGTTACAAGGCCCGCTTGGTGGCTAAGGACTTTCACCAAAGACCCGGTGTTGACTATCATGACACTTATAGCCCAGTGGTTAAACCCACTACTATTCGAGTTGTGCTCTCTCTTGCTCTCAGCTATGGTTAGCCTATTCATCAATTAGATGTTAATAATGCATTCTTACATGGCACTCTCCATGAGGAGGTTTATATGAACCAACCTCCTGGGTTTGTTGACGGCTCTTGCCCATTTTTTGTGTGTCGCCTTCATAAGGCTATATACGGTTTGGAACAGGGCCCACGTGCTTGGTACACTGAACTTAAAAATTTTCTTCTCTCCTTTGGCTTTGTTAATTCTAAGTCTGATGTTTCTCTATTTATCTACAACACTAACGGCATAATCATATATTTTCTAGTATAGGTAGATGATCTTCTTGTTACAGGAAATCATGGCACCTCAATTTTCAAGTTTATTCAGGCCTTATCTCTCAAATTTTCTATCAAAGACATGGGGGCCCTTCATTATTTTCTTGGTGTTGAGGTCCTTCCCACCAAATCAGGCGTGCTCCTCACCCAACATAAATACATCCGGGATCTCCTTGCTAGGATCAACAGGTCTGGTGCTAAAGAAGTTCACACTCCTATGGCCACCTCAACCTCCCTTAGTCTTGCTGATGGCTCTCCTTCCACTGATGCCACCCAATATCGGCATGTCATTGGTGCCTTGCAGTATTTATCTCTTACTTGACCCGACATTTCTTTTACTGTCGACAAACTTGCTCAATTTGTGCACTGCCCATCTGAGGTGCATTGGGCTGTTGCGAAGCGTGTTCTCCGTTACCTTAAAAACACATTGAACTATGGCCTCCATCTTCGGCGTAATCAGCCTCTGCACCTTCATGCTTTTTTCGACGCTGACTGGGCGGGCAATCCTGATGATAGAACCTCTACTACAGCATATATTGTCTATCTTGGTAGCAATGCTATCTCGTGGTGTTCTCGGAAACAAAAATCAGTTGCTCGCTCTTCTACCGAAGCCGAGTACCGTGCTCTTGCTTCTACTGCTGCCGAAATGAGCTGGATATCTTCTCTTCTTACTGAGCTGGGTGTTTCCCCATCCAAACCCCCTATCTTGTACTGTGATAACATGGGAGCTACCTATCTCAGTGCTAATCCCGTCTTCCACTCTCGCATGAAACACATTGCAATCGATTATCACTTTATTCATGAACAACTCTCAACCGGTTCTCTCAATATTTCTCGTATTTCCACTCATGATCAACTTGCAGACGCCCTTACCAAACCCCTTAGTCGCCAACATTTTTTTCTTTTACGTTCCAAGATTGGCCTCTCCGATAGGAGCGCCATCTTGTGGGGGCATATGAGATTAGATACGATTCCTCACAATCAGAAGTCAATTAATGTCTCCAAATCAAGCTCCAGCAGATCCATTGAATCTCCCAATCAAGCACAACCAGATTGAACAATTTTCATGAATCAAGGATTTGCATATCAGTCACCATCCTTTGATTTAGCATCCTGTTATGTATAGGCTATAATTTAGTTGTTAATTACCTTAATCTTTGCTGCTGTCAAGCCTTGTATTCCAAGCTACTGTAATTAGCTTTAGCTATCTCTGTATATAGGTGCATGCACCTTGATGAGAAAAGAGATACAAAACAGTTATCAAATCATTCCTTATTCTAAATTCTCTTTAATAAGAAGTTGAGCATTTTTTTAACCCAATTTTTAACCCAATTGCTCGTGGACCGTTGACGACGTATGCTCATGAGGGTAATAATGGTGGAATTAGAGAAAAAGAGCATGACGATAGCAATTATATCGAGGACAATGGCACCAAGGAGCAAGACATAGGTAATCCTAGCATCAAACCCATCGAATCCCTGCTTCTCCTCGGAATGGAAGAGTGCAAGGGCTACAACAACTGAACTGAAGCAAACAGACCTGCAAATGTAGCCTAATTTACAATGCACCACACTGACCTTCGTGTAGAGAATTTCATACATGAGATTCAGTTTAAGCTCTATAATTCCAAAACATCTCCTGCCATAATTGTTCTGAATAACTATTCGCCATCGTCCAGCTCGAAGGTTACAATGGAATTAACAATCAACTTCTTCAAACTATCAAAAAAGGAATTAGCAAACTGTATCACCGGTAACTCCGTCAAAACACGTGCATCTTCAGTGCCTTCTTGATTATTCCAGACCACAGGAGCCATGCCAGCATGGAAATCTTTTACGACCTGGTGGTAGACAGGAGGAACACGTCGCATGGACTCCCGTAAATTACCAAAGCTTGCAAGATACAGAGAACGTGTCCGCTCAGAGTATTTGATAATTCCTGCTACAAACACGAGCATTGTTGGGATCCATAGCTTGTTACCGGGTAATGTCTGAAAGAAGACATAAAGAGCTGCTACTAAACACTGGACTATGAGCGCAAGTAAGTGCCTGAGCCACAGCTCATTATCCTCGAGAGCAAAAGCAGTAATTGTATCCGTGCCACCGAGGTGTAGCAGAAAAAAAGTAACCCAAAATGCCTCAAGGTCTCCATTGTTGACTGCACCAGAAGTAGTGTTGTTATTGCCGTTGGAGATGAACCCAATAGCAACATTTGCAGCCCAGTCTGCAAGTAAGTATGCCGACCAGAGGGATATGATTATCCAATTGCTTGACATTCGCTTTCTCAAGGGCCCAAAAAGTGTTAAGAAGGTTTGCAGTGAAAGGCTTAAGATAATGAAGGATCGCAGATCCCATTTATCCCAAAGCTTCTTCAATGAGAGTTCCATATCCTCCTCTAGATGATTACAAGCACAAATTTAATGAATTATTTGTAGATGGAGAATGCATATGCATCCATTGTCAGTGGCATATATACACCAAATGCATTTTACATACAAAAAAAAAAAGGTCGTCAATTCATGGCTACTATTTTAAATCACTATTCATGCATACAATATTCAATCAACTATGACTAATTAAATTTATTGAGTTCATGATGATATATATAGAATTTTCATTTCTAAACGTTCTTGATAATTCTTCAAGCCACCTGGAGTTTGTGACATTTTTTTGAATCTGGATCATCCGAGTTTGAATTGATTTTTTAGTCCATTATATCATAAACAGATTCATAAATAAGTAATTCATAAAGATTTGATCTGATCGCATCACAGATTTAATCTCCTCAAATTGCTTTATTTTTGGTTTTAAATATTTCTAAACCATTCTAATCAATAGATTAGTGCACATGATAAAAAGGAGGAAAGCTATGGACAGTCTAGCCTATTGCCAACCATATCTATTCAACAATCCACGGATTGATTTATCCTTTTGGAGACTGGAGGACCTCTTCTATGTTTGCTAATTCCAATTTTAGGTACAATAAAATGACTAACATCAAAATATGTTTTATCACATAAATACTGAAAATTATACTTTCCCAACCAAAAAAAAAGAAAAAAGAAATACTGAAATTATCTCCATATGCCACTCGACAATGAGGATTCAATTAAATTGCACAAAAAATATATAATTCATGTAGACATCGATGAGTATTTTCTTATCTAATAACAAATGAAAGGTGGCCATAGATATAAAAGAAGTAATAAAATATGACAGACTAGCTATTAGAAAAGATTTTTATTAAGGGAAGCAATATTTGCTCTCCATTTTTCTTTGTTTACACTCCAATCTAAAATGAATCATCTCCATTTCTCATTGACAATGAAGTTTCAATTAAATTCCACAAAAATATAAAATTAACATAGAGATGGGTATTTTCTTATCTCATAACAAATGAATGATAGCCATATATATATAATAGGTAATAAAATATGACAGACCACATTAAAAAGGATTTTTATTAAGGGAAGCCATATTTGCTCTCCATTTTTTCTTCGTTTGCACCCTAATCTAAAATAAAACGACTTTTTTAATCCTAACTTAAAAATAGAGCTAGAGTCGAATGAACATTACTTGTTGGCCAATTAAGTTCCCCCCTAAATGTTTTAAACTGACACAAAGGAAAAATTACTAGTTAGTCGTACATTTAGTTTTAAAGACAACTTAGTCCTAAAATAAAGTCTTATTTTTAATAAAATCTTTCTAAGGAAGTTCAAAATTCTATTAAGAATATTTTGAAAAAAAAAAAGTACCACCAAGTCCACTTTTCTCACCAAAAGACAAATAAATTCTAAAAAATTTCTTTATGACTAATAAGGATTTTTGAGATTTCTTTGTTCTAAATAACTAAATCTTCTATATACCATCATTAAATTAGATATGAAATTAGATTCAAACTTTCTTTTATATCCTTACAAAAGTAAATATAAAATTTAAATAAAAACACATTTTATTAATGTTTTCATGGAATAAATATCTTTTTTATTTTTCTAATGTTGTCATATACTCTTCACAAGATTTTTTGAATTGAATTTAAATTAGGTTAAATATTATTTAAATTAACTAGACAATATTTATTTTGAAAACTATATTGCAGTATAGTGATCATTTGAGACTCCATTCCACAATTACCCATTTAGCACACCCTCCCATGCTTCTCCAGACTCTCCCTTCTTTTTGCACTCAAATTCTTATTATTTGTTTCATGTACCAAATATTCCTTCACAATTTATCAAAACTAATTAATTAAACAATCGCCCGTGTGGATTCGCCAACTTGCACACATCAAGAAGATTTACAAAACAACAATTAAACCAAAAGAGAACACACCAACTATTTGATTAAAGTACAAAGAGAGAGAGAGAGAGAGAGAGAGAGAGTAGACTTACCGTAGAAAAATCCACAGTCGAACGGGCGAGTTATATTCTCTTCTAAGTATATTATTTTATTTTGAAATCAATGATGGAAAATTCATGGGATGTTGGAGACCCAAGTTGAGTTTGATTAATGTTGTTTTTTATTCTGACATTGGTTTGTTTAATGGATTTTTATAGATGATTCTCACAAAGCTTAAAGCAAAGAGCATTTGTTCTTGAGATTGCTTGATATACCGGTTTTGGTATTTTAGTGGGGAGACTGAAAAAAATTCTATGGAGAATCAAACAAGCTAATATTCCATGGGTAGGTAATCAAGCAAGCTAATATTAGTGAACATGATTCCATGCACGATGATTTGATCAAATACAAGATGTATTGGTTCCACACTCCTGTCTACATCCACTCCTTAATATGCATACTTGAGACTTTCAAATTCACTATTTGTTCTTGGGATTTCTTGATATGGTGGTTTTGATATTTCTGTGGGGAGATTTTAAACTTTAGCAAATATGGGGAATCAAGCAAGCTAATATTAGTAAACATGATTACATGAAACTTTAGTAAACATGCCTTAAGATGTCCTCTTTTGAGAATTTTCAAATCCACTATTTGTTCCTCTGATTGTTTGATCAATGGGGACACTTGAAACTTTAGTAAACATGGGAATGAAGCAAGCTAATATTCCATGGGCAATCAAGCAAGCTAATATTAGTAAACAAGATTCCATAAAAAGAAAATATTAACTTTGATGATTTGATCAAATACAATATGTAACGTGGTTCTCATGCTTCCACGCCTCAAGGTGCCCTCTTAAGGATTTTTGAATCCACTATTTGTTCCTGGGATTGCTTGATATATATGCTGGTTTTGGTATTTCACTCAATGGGGTGACTTTGATCTTTAGTAAATATGGGAAATCAAGCAAGCTAATATTAGTAAACATGATTCCATGAAAGAAAACATCAACTTTGATGATTTGATTAAACACAATACCTAACATGGTTCGATAGTTGTGCTTCGATCTGTCCATGCCTTAAGATGACCTCTTGAGGATTTTCTAATCGACTAATTCTCCTTCAATGGTAGAAAGTAAACCTTTTACAAGTGGAATGAAGATGATAATTTGAAGCACAATAATAACTCAATTGCAAGTGAATATGAGTTTATTATTATTATTATTATTATTATTTAGTATTATTCTTAATTTATTTTTAATTAACAATCAAGATCAAAGCTCAAATCTAAGTCTTCAATGATTGAGCACAATGAATGGTGTTTAAGTCCAAGTTCAATTTCAAAGTCAATTGCGGCGTAATAGAATAATTCAATTAAGTTCACTATAGAAATGGCAATATTGGAAGAAAACCTGTTCTATAACGGCTTTTTGTTTAGATTTGTTGGGCTGGGCTTGCCTTTGCCTTGTAGACAATTACTTTTGTCCTCTCTTTTGGTTGGCCCTCTCCTCCCTATTTTTTATTAGCTTGGGCCTAGTCCCTCCAGACCTTTTCTCTTTTGGACTGTTGTAAATATTTACTTGGGTTAATTACAACCGCACCCTCAGAGGTTTGAAATAATGACAGCGATATGTAAGTTGGACCATTTTTTAACGATGACATCCCTTGAATTTGATAAAATTAACAAAGACACTCCAATGGTCTTGAAATGACATTATTGCCCTTGACACATTCAATTACCAATTTATCCAATACAATTATTTTTTTATTGACCAAAATACCTTACCATAGCCACCACCTCAGCCACTACCCACCAATCGCCACCATCGCCACCACCAATACTGCCCACCCCATTTTTCTCTCTCTCCACCCACCACTGCAACCTCTGCCAATCAATTGAACCCATGAAAAACCCATAAAAAATCCAACCAATTGAACCCTTGAAAAACCCAAAAAAACCCAGCCAATTGCACACACAGAGTTATAGATGTATATATAAATCTCAAACCCCCAATCTCATAGAGAAGATGATGCCTAGACCCTCAACCCAACCTCTCCCGAACCCAACCTATCAATCCTCACCAAACTCGATGACCGGTGGCGCAAAGGTCGACCTTTGCATGGGCTGCCGCCGCTGCCATTCTAGGCTCTACGTTGAGGATGTTTTGATGACCATCATGGTCGAAGAAAAGAAGCCATTGGCCTTGATGATCGAGTCTTGGAGGTTATTTCAACTGATGTGGACTAGCGAGGATGTCATCGAGCCGTTGCAGGAATCGTGAATCGTGAACCAGAAAATCGTCGCCGGAATCGCGACTGATTCCTCATTGCCGGCTGGAATACTGATTTGCTCTGCAATGGCCTCTGGCCAACAAAAACTCTGGTATACTCTCTGACAACGGCCTCTGCCCGAACCCGCACCGTCATCTAAAACCCACCACTGCTGCCTCTGTCAATGGTGTCGTGGTCAGATGGTCCATGGAGCACAATCATCGGACCCAAAGGAGATTGATCTCCACCATTCCTCCACTTCATCTCATGTTTGTTGGGTTTTGTGTGGCTTTGCAGTGGGGGGTGGAGAGAGATTGGGGAATTGGGTGTGGCAGCGTAGTTGGGGCAGCGTCGATGAGGGTGGTGGCGGCTAGCAACTCTGATGGTGGTTCAAGAGGACGCAACTATATAGTTGGATTTCGTCAGTGCTTAGGTGATGAAGTTGTAGTGGTGAATATGAAAAAGATCTGCTATGTAATCTCTTTAGGCCACCCGAACCCATCACACCTTCGGCTGGTGCTCTCTTTAGCCTCTTCCCCGCTGCTCTTCCATATATTTATATATATAAGGGTAATATTGTATATAATGTATATATATAAAAGGGCAAATTTGACTTTTCATGAGTTCTGATATTTTACAATAAAAATGAATTAAATATTGAAGGACAATCTCGTCTTTTTCAACATTTTAAGGACTTGTTTGGATCAAAATTATCACAGGGGGTGTCTTTGTCCAAAAAATAACTAAGTTGTAAATGGTTGTCAATATGTCAAACCTCAGGGGGTGTCGTTGTAATTAACCCTATTTACTTTATATACAATTGTTTGAATTTTTGAAAAATGAATAAATTGAGAAGGGCTCTAGACTATTAAGCCCTATTTGGAATGCAACTCCTAAAATAGCTTTGTTTTGGGAGTTAATCAAAACTGAAAATAATGTTTTTTTTTTCTAGCTGAATCTATTTTTGAGAAATATCATAAATTAAAGAAATAAAAGAGTGAGGTGCAATATTTTATTTATTTTCTTAGTTCAAAAAACTATTTTTAGTAGATACAATAGAACAATTTTATGAGTTTTTATTTTTCGAATATTGTTTTGCAATTTTCTCAACCAAGCAAACTTTCAACTTAAAAAAATTAAAAATTGTTTTCTGTATTGATTCTCTTATAATTATTCTTAAAAATTGTTTTCATAATTTAATTCCAAGCGAGCCAGAACTCAAATCAAATTTGTAACAAATATAAAAATTTAGAGTTTCAGCTTAATTATGTACGGATGAACTTGTTTATTTCAAACTAAAAATATTATATATATAAATATATATAGATAATCTTAGACTTGCTCATTTTCTCTAGGTAGCAAACGAAAAATAATTCTTTGAACTAACAACTCAGATTTATTGCACTACCAGTCTGATTTGTTTGTCAAATGCATGTTTATCTTAAAAAAAAATATATATATATATATATATATATATATATATATATATATATATATATATATATATATTTTATTGCATCCTAAATAGAATGGGTAAAAATGTAATTTACTAAGGCTACGTTTAGTTAGATGGAAACAAGTAAGAAAAGAAAAGAAATGAAAAATTAAAGAAAAGTGAAGCAAATGGAAAAAAAATTATTTTCCAGCATGCATTTGGTTAGAATGAAAATTTATTTAAAAAAATTATAGAAAAATATTAATTTGTTATTTTGGATAGCATGAAAGTGAAAAGAAATTGATTAAAGATACCAAATTTACCCTTATAATTTTAAATACTAATAAATAAATGAATTTGTATTTGTTGATGTCTATTTTTAGCAAAGAAATAGTAAAATAATGGATTATTAAATTTAATAATATAATTATTTATATTTAAAATAAGACTTCATAATATTTTCTAAGAAGTAGAACTAATTATTAGTGTATGAGAAATGAAACTTAAAAAAAAAAAAAAATTAGAGAGATTTGATTGTATTTTGTTGTTGTCAATTATATACGGACTTGTGCCAAAAAAAAAAAAAAAGGGTTGTTTTGGAGAGAACTTGCTTCTTAGAAATCCATTACAAAAATAAAAGAATAAATTATTTTTCATGATTAAGTTAATGGGTAAAATAGGAATGCCAAGTGAAAAGGCAAACATTTCACGCAAAAAAAATTATTTCCCTGTGTTTTATGTAGGAAAAGTTTTGAGAAAAAATAGACAAGTATGGAAACAAAATTTTCCATTAGTTTTCTCTTTCTATCTATCCAAACTTTAAAAAAAATTTAAAATTTTCTCTTTCCTTTTTTTTCTAACTGTTTCCACCTAACCAAACAAAGCCTAAGGAATTAGTCAATGCAACCCGTATCGCGGACAATTTCAGCTTTCCGAACGCATTTCGTTCCTTCAACAAGACTACAAGTTACAACTAATTGATAAAGGAAAAGAAAATAAATAAAAAATAAATCAGAAACGGTTGAGAGAGCGCCTGATAAATACTATCCTGAATTAAATGTCCGAGTTCAAAGTCACGTAATAGTCATTATCTGATATTTATACACATATATATTATCAACGGAAATACTTATTTATCAATTTTAATTTTTCAAGAAGCATTCTAGTGGTTTAAGTATATTTCCACATTGCATTTGTTTGTTATTCTTCTTTTTAACTGTTCCTTTTTGCAATGATGGTCACTTCTACAAGAAGGAACCCAGCTTCGTCACGTGCACTTTAAATCTGACGGGTCACTACCACCATAGCCACAGAGCAAGGCAAGCATAAATGATAAGTCCACAAAAGTGAAAAAATTTTACTACCTTATTAAAGGGCATGTTCATTGAACTAAAAAAAAAAAAAAAAAAAAAATACCAATTTCCTTATTAAAGGGCAAGTTTATAAAGCTTGGGCAAAACATCCCCTTATTAAAGGGGCGAGCTGGGTGAAGCTCGTAAAAATTAACCCTTTATTAAAAGGGC